GTTTAAACTCCCAGATCCTGGGGAAAAGAGGAATGATTTGATCTGGCATCTAAGAGACGCCACCAGAGCATATAAGGAGGGTCTGCTCAAAAAGTTAGGAATATTTGCTTGATTCTCTCCCCTGGACCCACTCAATTTCACTGAAGAAAGGGAGAGGATGACATACTCAGAAAAGATCCTGGAAGGCTTAGGCAAGAATGCACAGAAGGGGCTACTTTGACCCCAAGCCAGCCCAAGCTTGCATCATATGACTGTATCACTCAATTCTAGCTCTGCTTTAAAAAAAAAAAAAAAGTTCATTCCATAACTCTGCTTACTTTATGATAGATGGTATTTGTAAAATTCCCAGATATGTAAAAAGAGGGATCACCTTTCCACAAATGTGGTTTAAAATCCATTTCATCAAGTTTATACCTACAACCGCAGTCATATAGAACAGGGGTATCTGTAAAATTTATACCTATTAGCTGCAATCATACATACTATATGACAGGTGTCCAGCCTTAGCAAATTTAAGACCTGTGGACTTCAACTCCCAAAATTCCCCAGCCAGCATGGGGAATTCTAGGAGTTGACATTCACAGATCTTAATTACCAAGGATATCCCTGATATAGATGCTTCTCAGGGGACAAGTCCCCTTGAACACAGTGGAACCTAATTCTGTGCTCACATACATTTATGCACACTTGCAGCGTATTTTTCTATCCACACAAAGAAGACATTACCACCAGAAAAACTCAGGGCAAAACTGAAAGATTTTTTTTTTTTTTAAAAATAGTTCTTCTGAGTAAGAATAATTTCCTAGACCTGCTATGCAAAGATTTGTGACCTGGTCTCCTCACTAGTAAATATAGGTGTCATATTGTGACTCAAATCAATTTAAAAATAATCTCTATCACTCTGTAATCCTGTACAGTTTGAAAACCTGTAACACATGCACTAACCTGACAATAAATTCTATTTAACCAAACGGAGTTTGCTTTCGAGTGGATCTGAAGAGGATTATGCTACAAGAGCAATAGAAAGGCAATCCTATCCTGCTGCTGTTAATTGTATTAATAACACAAAGGGGTACCAGACCCTATACAGGTAATGCTTGACTTACAACAACAATTGAACCAAAAATGTCTGTTGCTAAGTGAGACAGCTGTTAAGTGAGTGTTCCCCCATTTTATGATGTTTCTTGCCACAGTTGTAAAGTTACTCACTGCAGTTGTTAAATTAGTAACATAGTTGTTTAGTGAATCTAGCTTCCCCATTGACTTTGCTTGTCAGAAGATGGCACACTGCAAATGTTGTAAATATGAACCTGTTGCCAAGCATCTGAATTTTGATCACTTGGCCATGGGGATGCTGCAATGGTCGTAAGTGTGAAAAATGGTCATAAGCCACTTTTTTCAATGCAGTTGTAACTTCACATAGTCAGTAAATGCATGGCTGTGTAAGTCAAGGACTTATATAGTCCATAATGAGATAAGTTTTAGCTAAGAAACCATACAGTCTATGGCTAAATATTTATTTATTTATTTATTTATTTTATTAAATTTGTATACCGCCTTTCTCCTGCTGGACTCAGGGCGGTGCACAGCCAAAATAAAAAACATCCCAATACAAAATTTAAAATTGGTTAAAAGAATTACACAACTTTGGCCCAAAATTTAAAACATCCGACTAAAACCCATAGACAATTAAAAATCTAACATCTTAAATATGTTTATTAACAATCCTTACCTCAGTGTGGTAAACTATTTTCTGGAATCACACATGGTGGCTCTAGGACCAATTCCGAGTACAGTTAAAAAAACACACACATTTTTAGCAATCATTTCAAACTTCTGACAAGAATGCTCTATGAGTGCCCCCACTTCACAAAAATGGAATCGGGGGCGAGAGAACAGCTATTGGAATCTTGCGCCTCCTATCACTTACTTCAGTCCTCCTACTGGTGCATTTGAAGTCAATGGGAGATACCGGTAATTTTAAGCTTAACTGTTGAAGACCAACATGCTAGAACAGCTGCTTAAAAGCTACCAATTTGTTTTCCTTCTTTCTGCATACGGTATGAAATTACTACATGAAGAAAGACAGCCAGGATGATGCATATTAGAAACACACATCTTGATTCCTATGTGTGTCCAATTACACTTGGCCAATAAAGAATTCTATTCTATTCTATTCTATTCTATTCTATTCTATTCTATTCTATCTATTCTATTCTATTCTATTCTATTTCTACTCTACTCTACTCTACTCTACTCTACTCTACTCTACTCTACTCTACTCTACTCTACTCCAACAAAATACTGGGGGGGAGGTTCAATACAACCCGTAACATTAAAATTCAGGAGGCACAGGCAAGTGTTTAATTATTGCTGAAATATTTATTTGCTCAGCAAGCACATTTTGGGAGAGCTTCCCTTCCAATCTTCCTGAACTATTCATTGGTGGAACACTGAGGTCCTCTTCTGGATGTGCCTCACAATACATCTCAAAATAATTCAATAAAGTTTTCAAGTGTGAGTTCTGAAACTTTGGCTTTGTGTTCCCTTGTTGCCCGTCAATCGTTTTGATATGGGCCAGGTCAAGAAACAGACACTGCAAGGTCAGAACTCTATTGTTGTAGAGTATAATAACAAAGTCTTGAAAGCTCTCAAAGTTACCTTCTTCTCCCTCTAACACTACCCAGAATCAAGGTGAGCTTACACTCCCTCCTTTCTCAGGGATGACATTTATGGTCTTTTTTTAAAAAAATAACTTTACAGTTCTGGCATTCCTTCACCATATTATCTCTATATTCCTCTACACCACCTCCATGGTCTGCCTTTTACAAGCTAGGATGTCCCATGTGAAATGACTACAGGCTCATTACCCCCACCCAAGCTTAGTGGTTCCCACTAAGGTCAACAGACCAATCTTACTGCACAGTCAGATGGAAAAACATCCCTGTATTTTCTTCTTGTTGCACAGCAACCAACCCTGGAGAGTATATCGTGGCAGAAAACAGGAAATTCCCTTCATCCTGGAATTTGTTTACTGGATCACCGATGACCCGCTGGGTCATCCTTTTAGAAAAAGATAGTGCAGCATGATGGAAGAGTAATTGTAGTGGCAAATGAACTTCAATAATACTTACCTAAAGACATAAACAGAATGACCACAGGTGGCCAAAACAGCAGTGGGAAGTAGGAGTGATTTCTAACTTCCTGTCAGCTTTCCCATTGACTTTGCTTGTAGGAAGCTGACAGGACGTGTCATAAATCACATGGCCTCAGCTGATGGAAGAAGTACAGCAGGGCTGCCTACATAACTACATAATCCTTCCAGTATACCTGGTCTGAAGGTCCTTGAAATTTCACTTCCACAGGAGTAATGGATCCCAGAGTTTGTATGCGTTCTTTAAGGCAGCAGATTTGAGGTTATCTTGATTCAAAAATTATTTCACTATGATGTACCATTTCAGCTAACTGAACTTGACAATTAATAGTAGAGTGTTTTAGTAGTATACACATTTAGTAGTGTATAGATAAATCTATAGTATGTACTATAGATTTACGTATATAGTAGTATATAAATCTATACTATATAGATTTAGCAGGTCCCAGGGGCAAGGCTTAGGTGGGAATTTCACATGGAAATGATGTATATCTGACATAAGATATAGATATCTGTTGTAGTTTCCCATGACTTCTCAGATTCAGGGTAGCCTTTATGGTGAACCAAATATTCTAGGCATTTTCCCCCTGGACCTACAATGCAGAATGTGCCAGCTAAGATCTGGGTCTCTAGCTTAGTTAAATTAGATCTTTAATTATGAGACAAATAGTTCCTTCCTCCTCCCCCCAAAACATCAACAAACTCCACATATTTTTTTTCTGGCATAGGGAAGGAGAAGAAGGAGAGGGTATAAGAAGGAAGCTCAAAAATGGTGCTGTTGACAACAATGTATTCCTTCAGTAACATTACTTCTGCTGCCTTCTGTATGGCCCTTTTCCAAATATTGTATTTTGGCAATATAATTAACTTCCTATGCAGTCATTATTAAAATGACTGAATTTAAGACTGGGCAACACTAGCATATTTGAATATAACTTCAACATTTCAGCTACCCATATGTTCAGGAAAGGTAGTCCTTACAAATAAAGTATTATTGTAAGTGAACACAGGTACACAAGTCCTGTATTGGTAATTCATTCAATAAATTCCCTCAGGTTTACCATGACTCCTGGTGATTTCATGGTTACACATGTTATTTTCTCAGCAACATTACAGAAGTGGTTTTCTCTTCCCTTTTTTTTTTTTTTCTGGAATGCTTTTTCAACTTTGCAGTCAGTCCAACAGTTCTGGAATTTCCAAAGAAGAAACTATTCTGGCCCTGCTGAGCTTTTCAATACTGTCCAAGATCGGATAGATGCTGCTAACCTGAACAGCTTGCCTTCAATATTATAAGGAGTTTTCTATTGCAAATATATTAAAATATAACTAAATCAACTGATCCTTAATGGTGATTGCTATCACAACAGGAATTAATCTGAAAAGAGCAAGTATGGCAGCAACTGATCAGGCATGAGTACAAGCCTTTCAATTCAATTATCACAATATTAAGTTTAATAATGCCAAAATTTTCTACCAAGATCTGAACGCTGTAGTCTATAGGAAGATCTAAACTTGCCCTGTGATGCACTGAAGAATATGGTACAAATTAGACATTTATACGTATTTGGATTATTTCACTGAAAGAGTACATGGTTTTTATGTAGAAGGTCCCCTTCTTATCTTCGGTATTTCCAGTTGAATATATCACACATAGGAAATTACAGAAAAGCCTCTGTTAGCACTAGAACAGAGTCAAGTAGATTAAAATGACTAAATACCTGGACTATATTACATCTTAATAAAGTCCTAATACTAATCAGACTAGTTCCCAAGAGAAATTCCAATGTAGCAGGTGACCTGGAAAGCTTGATTCAGCATGTATAACTTAATGAACAACTTAGCAAACTGGAAGATGACAGAAAGTTTTATAGAGAGTTCTTATCCAAATAATTTACAAGACAATAGAAATCAGCAAGAGTCTGTACTGGCAAAGCATGCATTATCCTAATTAGCTGAACCTCTTGTCAAGTTCAAAATCAATAGTTGCAAGAGTTCAGCCTTAGCTGGTATTGTTCTTTCAATAATATCTTTCCAGTTGGCACTCAGGGGAAAACAAACTAGACATTTTGACCCACAACTGTATTTGTTAATTTATTATAACTTGCATATTATATTCAACCACATATTAAAGAGGGACAAGTATGTCATTTTCTATCTCCTGGAGCTAAATAATTTAGTCCAGCAAAGGTCAGCATTGTGAAGATCATTCAAGGATTTATTCTTCTTCTAGACTGGTTAACTTTACAACAGCCTCTCATTTACTGAATTCCTTTTTCCGAACTTTTGATTTTGGTGCTGCCAAAAAGAAGAAAAAAAACCTGAGGTCACTAATATTCAAATCTATACACGTCAACATGGATTAAAATGCTGATATGAAGTTTTTACCATTTGGATTCTCTTGTCTGTAAAAGGTTTTCAGCATCTCCACAGCTTCTTCAGATCGATAACCGGCTATGCACTAAAGAAAATAAACATGTTGTTCACAAATGCATCTGAAATGAAGATACACCATCAGCAGAATTTTTCGGTTAAGACTTCATTATTTTTAAGAACTCAAAAGTGGGAGTAACATAGCTTCTGTTGTTGCTACGCTGGGATGTTAGAATAAGACCAACCTATTAAACATTGTTTACTAGGTAACTTTTAAAGGCAGAGGAATGCATGTATGACTTTTGATTAGCACAAGAAGAAAGCACAGAACAAAAAAAGTGGGAGAAGGATATAGATGTTATCAGAAGAGGGTGTTTTTTTTCCAGCAGTTACATTTCATGGGAATTTAGGGTGACAATTTTTTTGGGGGGGGGGGCATTTTTATAATCTTTTTCCCCTTCATTTGACTGGCACAAATTCTTAAATAAGTCTTTTCAGAGTCCAGATAGCTATGATTGGAAATAAAACTATTTAAGTGGATATCTAACATCCCGCCCGCCACCCACCCCCATGCATGCACGGCAGAGACCTGAAGACTAGGTGGCCGGTGTGAGGTGCGTGTGCATGCGCATGCGCAGCGGAGCTGAACTGGAGCGACGGCTCACGTGCCCATAGAGAGGGCGCTGCGCGCCACTTCTGGTACGCGTGTCATAGGTTCGCCATCACGGTTCTAGAGCAAGCTCTTCATTGCTATATCAGTTTGATATAGCAATGAAGTTCCGCCAGGTCGGGCTATCGACATGATAATTTTAAATTGGGGTATTTTAAATTTTTGGGGTTTTAAATCGGCCAAATCTATTTAATTATTTTAATTTTTAATTATTGTTGTGTCTTGTGTTTTTAAATTGGCTGTACACCGCCCTGAGTCCTTCGGGAGAAGGGCGGTATAGAAATAAAATTATTATTATTATTATTATTATTAATATATCACATTCTTATGAACATATAGAAAGGCATATAATAGTACTTCATATAATGAAGTACTCACTTGAAATGGTTCTCCTGTATCTGTTAAGGTAGCAGAAGAGATATTCAGAACTGAGCCGCAGCCTCCAAACCGTTCATTTTGGCAACCATATACAACCAATGGGATTTATGCAGATCAATTAAGGCATTAACTAGGTTAGATAAGAAATCCTACACAGATAGTATATAATATACAAATAGTAACAATCCTGTTTGATAATCCAGCTATTTTGATATGCCAACTTTCCACCACTACCACCACCATCATCAATACATGAAATCACAGCTGCCAGTTTTTAGCTGGGCCTTCATACACACCGAGTTCTTCCTGAGGACCTAGGATATTGGACCATATTGGCATGGTAAATGTTCAGATCCAATCAGTGGGGTTTTTTTTGTGATTGACAAATGGAAATTTTGACAATGCACAGATTTTCTAAATGCTATCCAAGATTTTTTTCGTATGCCAATAACCACTGAGATCACCACAGCTGGTTTATACCATAATCTTTCATCTTTGATTTTCAGATCTCGATAGTCTTGTAATCTCCAGGTCCTTGTCTTCTATTCTACTATCTCCTAGTATTGCCATTATCAATTTTCCACATTTCCTTCTTTTCAACCATGGTTAAATCTGGTGTGTTATCAGCCAAGGCTTTATCAGTTTGCATTTGGAATTCCCAAAATATTTTAACTTGCTCATTTTCAACAACTTTTTCAATTATATGTTCTCACCAATTTTTCATCAATCCTTTTCACGTGATTTTTAACCATTTGTGCTGTTATTAATACAATAGTTTTTCCATTTGATTTTTACTCAATCCATCTTCAAGTTCTTTTATCCATCCAGCATTTTTAATACAGTCTTGTTTCATTCATGGATTGTTTCATTTTTTGGTATTCCATTTTCAGAATTTCTATTGCTACTTATAATTTATATTATTATTAAATAATTATCATTATTATTTACATTTGTATATAGTACTGCCCAATTCCCAATGACCCCAAAATACAACATTACAAGCAAAAAGCAATGTAGTAATAATAATCTCCTTTCATTTACAATACATACATTCATCCTTTCCTTAGACATGTTATTACAAAAGTGATAACTTCCCCAGATAAAATATTTCTCATTTTCCCCGGCTTGGACAAAAGATATCTTCCACCCATAAATTGAGGACAAAAATATCCAGACATTTAACAAAATGTTTTAAAGAAAAGAAGCTTAAATTAATGTATTCCTGTCGTAGGAAAATTCCAAAATTTCATATACCACACAAGCACTTGTCCCGCCTGATGTAGACTTGACCCTAAATGTCACCTTCTTTTCTATCCTATCCATATCAACATTTGCTAATAAAAATTCAGAGTTCGTATAACTCCAAATACCCAGTTGAAGAACAGTAGCATAGAGGTTCCCCAAGGTGGGAAACAGAATCCCGTATTAAGGATTAAGTGACCAACATTTGGAGAAGGATACTCATCATTCGAAGCGCAGCTGCACACATAATACAGGGCTCAACTGTGACGTATAATACTGTGTGTGTAAAAACTTCCTCAGGTTCCTTCTTATGTTGATGACACCAATCTAAGACCTGATCAATTGCTACCATTTCTGCATGGCGAGTAGCCTATGGGAATAAAGAAAAAAAAAATCAGAATTGGTGCCACATAAAATGGGTTACTTTGCATATAAAGTAGCCTGACCTTCGGTAAAAGCCTCAAAACCTGGCATTGCCAATTGGCCTGGTCCTCCAACAGGGTCACATTGGAGGTGATGGATAGATTAATAACAGATCCAAACACTCCCTCTACCCATCCTACTCCCACCCTCCCCAACTTTTAGTTAGAGTTAATAATTTATGCTTTTATAGCACTTTATTCTTGTTATATACATGCTTTGTATAGTTTTATCCTTTTTAATATTATAAGGCGCCAACTGTTACACTGTGATAAGATGGGCAGCAAACAAATTTAATAAAATAAGGAAAACACACATATAAGGAAAAATAACTCTTATTTTTTAATAAAATTACAGGAACTACGGTTTGGACAAAACGGCCTAGGACAGTTTCCCTCAATTTACTGCCCTCTAGTGTATGGAGGTGAGCATTCTCAGTATTACAAGACAGTATGGCCACCGGTTGAGAAAGGTTAGTTTCCCTTAGCTCTGCAATTGTATTCTCCATGCTTGCCACAGTTCCCAAAAGATGAAAACTGATGTGCTTGGTTCTGTTTGGATTAAGGCAATTAAAACAATTCACTGAAGCAAGGAGTGAAATCCTGTCTTATGCCTGAGGATGCTTGCTATATTGTATCAAGAGACAAGGGCAAGTTTATAACTCAATGTCTTTTAGAATTTGCTTTATAAGCAAAATAAAAAAAATAACACACATAAGACTGGCTCTTGTTGGAAATTTGTTACAATTTATTTATTTATTTGCTAGGTTTATATCCTGCCGTTTCATCGGAAGCTCAAGATGGTCTACACAGCAGCCTCTCCTTCAACTGTTTTTCACAACAGCCTTGTGAGGTAGGTTGAGCTGAGAGATGATAATTGGTTCCAAATCACCCAGGAAGCCTCCATGGCTGAGGGCAAATGCTGGTGTCAACCCAATGCCTTCAAAAGTATACCATGCTGGCTCTTTGACTGAAAGAGAACGACTGGCGGGGTCATTCAGGAAATTTTGGTGGCTGAGAGTAGACTTCAGCTTAAGCTTCCCCAATCCTAGACTGTCACTCTAAGCCTCCTAGCTGTCATATACCGTATTTTTCAGAATATAAGACACACCCTTTTCCCCCCTAAAAGGGGGTGAAAATTTAGGTGCGTCTTATACACCGAATGTAGCCCCGCCCACCCACTGGCCCACACCCTTTGGCCTCTGCCTTGCAGCAGTTACTTCCTTGCAAGCAAACAGCAAGAAAAAACAGCTCCTTTCAGCTTCAGCACAGCCTAATTAGCACAAGTTGATTGGATCGGCTTCCGACTCTCAGCTGATTTGCTCTCAGCTGTTTTGCGCAGGGCTCTGCTGTTTGCTGCAAAGAGGTAAATTGCTGGAGCAGATTTTTCCCCCCTTGTGCTAATCAAACTATGCTGAAAACGAAAATGAAAGCAAAGCAGGCTGTTTGCTGCAATGAGGCAAAATTGCTTAGAGGCAGAGGCAGATTTCTTTTTCTTCTTTTCCTCACCAAAAAAAGTAGGTGCGTCTTATACTCCGGTGCACCTTATACTCCGAAAAATACAGTAAGTATCTTCATACTATCAAAGCAGCCTATCAGAATCCAGGCCTCATTAAAAAAAAAAAAAAAAAGTCATCGTAGAATAGAGCACAATATTTAAAGCACCTAAACAAACCAAACAGCTGCAGTGGTTGCAAGTCTTTTTTATAATGTATTCTCAAAATTTCCACTGTAGGGTAGGGAAGGTCAATGACAACCAATATAGGTGAGGTCTTATTTCACCACACTGATGTTATTTTATACAGTGCCTTTTGTTTTTATTTTACTGGAGCAATTCCAAAAGCCAATCCCAGAACAGAACAAAAAAACCTGCAAGAGCCACAGAAATTCAGTGTCAAAACAATAAAGATCATCAAAAAACAAAACAAAAATCAAAGGCATGGAGTTGTGTCTCTGCTTTGCTTTCTTTTCTTTCTCAGTGTCTGAAACAAGGGCAAAGAGGACAGGAGAAAAACAGCTGTTTGATCAAAAACAGGATTGACCACAAGCAAGCTTTTTCCTCTATCTGTCAGGGATTAAGTTCGTATTTTCTATTTAATCTTTCCAACAATTAATGCAAAGAAAAAATTGATCTACCAGTCATAAAAAGCAAATAGACAGCATAGGAAATGCTCTCATGAGCTTTATGCATGTTCATGGATTACATCACCTGTTTTTTCCCCCAATTATGGCAGCATTTGGCACCGTATTGTATAACCTACATCAGCGGTCCCTAACTTTTCTGGGTTGGCGGCCCAGTACAGGGGTGGGTGGGGAAGAGGGGATAGTTTTGTGCGTGGAGCAGGTGCGTGTGCACATGCACACAGCTTCATTTGAGGTTGACAAGATTCTCAAAGCAATTTATAAAGATAAAAACAGCAGTCATCACATCAAGAAAATAAAAAGCAGAGCAAGGATAAAAATCATCAGTAAAATCTAGAACTTCCTGCAGCTTTACCTTCAGTGGCAGGAAGGATCTTAGAAAAAGTTTTGAAAATAATTGTAGTATTTGGTAGATTTAAGCAGGTGAAGGGAGCCCTGAAGGCATTCAGGAAAAAAGTTATCTAAACAAACACCTTTATGAATTGTGCCTGGTAACTAAGAGTTAGTTACACCTTTTTTCAAATTAGCAGGATATGATCTCTCTGTTTATGTTTATTCAGCAATCTCTTTGTTCCATTCTGAATTTCCTGTAGTTTCCAACTAATCCGAAAGACAGCTCATGGTCAAAATATTGCCCATAGAACAATTACGCAAAATTGCATCATTTGGTCAATGTATCACTTTCAAAGAAGGGTGATTTGTAATACCACTCTAAATGTTTTAATAAAACATATAGTTACAAAATATGAAATGATTTTTGTTTAGCAAAGCATGCACAGTCTAGATATTTAAGATTCTACCCTTACTGTTTTTTTAAATAGCTTATGTATTTCACGATATGCTTCATACTATAAATTTGTAAGTATAAATTGAAAACAACGGCCTAATTAATTCTTATATATATCAAAGAATGCTATTCAATAAAAGGAACTGAACATATGTGATAGATAGCAAATGTGAAGCAAATAGAATGCATTTAGCTATAATCTATTGTTATAATACCATCTTACAAATTAATTTTAATGTGAATAGTCCTTCAAGAGATTGTGCTTAGCAGGTGCCATAAATGCTATAACACACTCTAGGGTGCAACTACAATCGCTTCCCGAGAGCTGGCAGAATTCCTGACTTAAAATGCTCTCTGCTCTTATTAAGAACTGTTAAAATTCTCCCCTCATAAAATCAGTTAGATAGAGTTCATTGTTTTGAATGAATTGCCATGGACATTGAAGTTTTCATCATCTCCAACTATGCTGAAGACTTCTCAAGGGGCAGGGGTAGGGTTATAGTTCATCATCATAAACAAACAAACAAACAAACAAACAAACAAACATGTATTCAAGCCAGGTTTGGCAATTGTTCTTATTGTTGTACTTGTTCTCTTCCCATTCCATGTAGATGAATAACCCCATAACGACCAAATCTGTACACTCTTTTGCAAATTAGAATCTTCTTGTGAAATTCATGACATGTTTATTTCTGCATTGCACTTCCAAACTTTGGGAAAGTTGTGGCTACTGGCTGCTGTTGTGATGCCACTGTAGTCACATGATCTTCATTTTCAATATTTTGTGAGAGTTTCTCAGGCAGTCTCACAATCCCTTGGTCCCTGCCAGATTCCCGTAAGGAAATTCAATGGTACAGTCAGTGCAAAGTCAGAAGTCATCCTGCTCCCACTATTTTTTGCCCACCCTTGGTCATTCCGTTTCTCTGTTTAGGTAAGGAAATATCTCTGAAATAATGACTCAATGGGTCATGGGTTTCTAGTTTATTATGAAATACTGAAAGTTTAACTTTTATTGTTTGAACTCTTTCAGTTTTTATTTCATTATACATGTAATATATATTGATGTAATATATCCGCCAGTCTTTCTCAATCTTGCTAAAATTCAGTTCCCATGATCCTCAGCCAATGGCTATTCTGTCTGAGGTATTGTGGGAATTAAAATACATTTGAAAATTGGGGCACTTTGAAATATTATCACTACATTTTGAAACTTGGTCTTGTCTAGGTAACAGTAACAAAACAAAATGTGGAACATTTGATAAAAGAAAAAGAAGTATATGATAACAGCAGTGAGATTACTAATAGGTCAATATTGGAAAAATGAAGCTGTGCCCACTATCGGGGAATGGACTTTGAAGATGGCCAGTTTTGCAGAGATGGCGAAGATTTCAGCATATCTAAAAGATCACTCACAAGAGACTTATGAATGGGAGTGGAAAAAGTGGATAGATTATGTGCAGAACAAATATCAGACTAGGAAGTATCAGATAGCTTTTAACTGAAAGTGTTATATAAAGATAGAAATATTTGAATTTTGTGAAGATGAAAAATATATTGGGGATGGAGGGGTTCAAGTTTTATAAAAAGGGGATTTTGATCTGGATTATATTCTATGGAAGTCCGGGGTGGGAGGGGTGGGTTAGGGAGGGTTAGGGAGGTTAGGGAGGCTAGGGAGGGTTGGGGGGTGGGAAATGGGGAGAAAATGTAATTGTAAAACTTTTTCAATAAAAAAAAAAGAAAAAGAAAACAATCCACAAATAAAAAAATACTAATAACTGAAGTTCACTAGCATTCAGAGATCAAGACAAAACATTTTTATTACAAAAAAAGTTACCATGTCCTTCTTAATTACAGGTAGACCTCAGAGTACAACAGTAACAGTCAAACTTTGAGGACCAGTCATGGGTACCCTTTATTCAAGACCAAGGCTACTTGTAAAGTAAGAAAAATATAAAATGGTTTTCCAAAATTGAGTTTAGAGAATTGAGAATTGAGAAAAGAAAAATATAAAATGGTTTTCCAGAATTGAGTTTGGATGTGTTGAGATATGTTTATAGAGAACACAGCATTTTTTCACTAGAATTTTAGAAAACAGGAACTCAAAACATAAAAATTCCAAAACAGTAATTTGCTTATACAACTCCCAAATTATACAAGGCAGGTTTTAAACACAGCTGAAGTAGAGGAATTTCTTGAGGATCTTTCTATTTATATATGCAATGCAAAGGATAGGATTCTCACTTACATTTTTTGTTTCGTTAACTTCATTCCTTCCTTTCCCCACAATCTCATTATTGTAGACCATGAGGCAACCAACAGGTACTTCACCATTCTCAAGTGCATCTTTAGCCTATCAATACAAAGTAATTAGCAACAGCATTGTTAAGAAGGATACGGTGTCATATTTATCACAGATTGCAAATTCAGAAGCATAACACATCCAACTGCATTTACTCCATCACAGGTAGTCTGGGACCAGAAACTTGGGTCAATAAGTGACACAAGGCACTAAGTGGAAAATCATAAGACTCAGACTATGCTTATGACTTAATTTCAGCTTTCCTTTTTCCCACTCCCCAGTCCTTCAGAATTCTCACCCAGGTGCAGGGATAATTAATAAGGAAATTGATTTACAATCATTGTAGAGGAAAACATTAAAAGAAAGTAAGCAAGCATACAATGGAAAAACACATCAAAAGGAATGCATTGGCAAACAACCAGTGCTAGCACATTCCTTTTGATATGTATTCTCCACTGTGTGCCTGTTTATTCTCCTATAATCCTTTCTTCTCCAATCTCTCTTCTCTGCAAGAAAAGGGGAAACAGTCGCTGCATGAGACAGTCAGTAAACAAGGTCTATCTATGCAACTGTTTTTCCTAATGCAAGAACAATAATATACAACAATGCCTATAAAAAACCAACATTTCTGACTGAATGGATCACATACATAGCAAAATAAAGGACAAAGTGAAGAGGCACTTACCTCTTCCCCCCCCCCAAGTTCTCAAAAGAAAAACAAACCGAAATTAATACATAGCAAGAAAAACACCACACACAACTGTGATTTATTGGCTGAGCTATACCTGAAACAATAGTTTACTCTGGTTTAATTACATTTTCATTTACAATGACTTTGTTTAATCAGTCAAAGCAACTGCTATTCATGTAATGCGGCATGATTTGTTTAGTCTAGTGGTTAAGGCACCAGGCTAGAAACTGGGAGATTGTGAGTTCTAGTCCCACTTTAGCCATGAAAATCAACTACGTGATTTTGGGCCAGTCACTTTTTCTCAGCTCAACCCACCTCACAGATTTTGGGGAAAATAGGAGGAGGAAGGTGTGTTGTATATTTTCACCACCTGAGTTCTGTGAAGTTTCCAAAAGATGCCCTAATTAATTCATGAGCCATGAGCCAAACTTCAAAAGAAATACAGTCATTTATTAGGAGCACCATTCCGGCAATACTCTGATGGAGTCAGAACTGACCTCACATAAATTTACGGGCCCCCATGACCCTGTTTCCCCCCTCCTCCCTCGGCATGTCATAAATCACATTCTCCAACTGATCACATTGGCAGGTTGTGAAACCCTGCTGACTCCAGTAACCTAGGACACAATCTATAGAAAGGCATTTGTGGAATGTAGTTTCAGTTAGGCATTTGAAATGCCATCAAATACCAGGATCTTATTATCATATGTGGTGGACATGTTTAGAAGCTAAAGTCTATTGGAACAGAATTAAGATTTGGTTAGAGGAAATGACCCAACAACATATTGATTCAAAACCGGAGCTGTTCCTACTGGGTATCCTACCAGAGAAAATTAATAAAGAAAATGTATATTTGATTATTCATATAATAACTGCAGCGAAGACAATATTTGCGCAAAGATGGAAAGTAGAGAAAATCCCGTTGGAAGGGGAAGTAATTAAAAAAATGTTTAGACTGTGCAGAAATGAATAGATTAACCTTGATGATTAAAGAGAGAGAAGATACGGAATATTTTAAGATATGGGGGAAATTTTATGATTGGTTAGAAAAGAGAAATAGATAAAAGATGTTGATAACGAAATAGGAGAATATTTATATTAAATGTATTGTACTTGGGGGGAAATGTTGTTAATAGAGAAATGGAAATTATAAGGGAAGAAATGAAGATAGGAGGAATAATCAAAAAGAAGAAGTTACTGAAGAAACACCGAGATGACACATGGAAGGATTGATGTATTATGTGTTTGTTTGTGTAAAAAAAAAAAGTAGTAGTAGTAGTACTTCTGGGAGCTTCATCACTGAAAGCTTTCAAGAAGACGCTGGACTGCCATTTGTCAGAAATGATGTAGGGTCTCCTGCTTGGCCAGAGAGATTGGACTAAATGGCCTACAACAGTGTTTCTCAACCTTGGAAGCTTGAAGATGGGTGGACTTCAACTCCCAGAATCCCCCAGCCAGCAGTGCTGGCTGGGGGATTCTGGGAGTTGAAGTCCACCCATCTTCAAGCTACCAAGGTTGAGAAACACTGGCCTAAAGATCCCTTCCAACTCTGTTAATCTGTTAAATATGTTAACAGGTAAACTCCCAAACAATTCACGAGTGGATGTCGCCCATTAAACGCGTTAGTCTTTCCCCCCCCCACTATCTCCCAAGTTCCGAAAAGCTTCCTTCCTCCTTCCTTCCTTCCTTCCTTCCTTCCTTCTTCCTTCCTTCCTTCCTTCCTTCCTTCCTTCCTTCCTTTCTCTCTCTCTCTCTCTCTCTCTCTTTCTTTCTTTCTTTCTTTCTTTCTTTCTTTCTTTCTTTCTTTCTTTCTTTCTTTCTTTCTTTCTTTCTTTCTTTCTTTCTTTCTTCTTTTTCTTTCTTTCTTTCTCTAGCGGGACGACCGCCCTTCTTACAACAACCCCTTTCGGTTGCTTCTCTGCGAGAGAGCCGCCCTCACCATATCTACAGCTCTGTCCATCCAGGCCTCCGTTTCCCCCGCGCTCACCCGCCACCTCTTCGCCGCTTCCATCATCTCTGGAAAGGGAAAAAAAAAGCAAGCCTCGCTTGCTTACGGAACGAAAAGTGAAGGGGGAACAGATCCGAGGGGGAAAGAAATGAAGGGAGAACCAAGCTGCTGGTGGGGGGGGGGGCGGGGGAAGGGGAGGGGGACTCGAATTGCGGGGTGGACCGTGGGCCGAATGAAGCCGGCGTCGGAGACGATGGGCGGGGCTTCCTGCGGCGTGCTGGGGACGAGTGGGCGGAGCGGCGGCTCGACTGAGAATCCTCATCTGCCGCCGCCGCCGCCGCCGCCGCGATGCTGCTGGCCGTGTGGGGCTTCCTGAAGCGTCACAAAAAGAAATGCGTCTTCTTGGGCGCTTTTCTGGGCGGTGAGTTTCTCTTCCCCCCCCCCAAACCCGGGCATTTTCCGAGCCTTGGTTTGCTGCGCTTTGCTGCCCAGAAACAGCTGTTAAACAAGCATCCCCCCCCCTAATCTGATCCCGAGCGCCTCCTGCGCTCTTCCTGCTGCCCCAGAGCCAGAAGCGTCCGCCCCCTAAAATCTGCAGGACGTTTCCTGCTCGCCCCTTTTAAGTTTGGCTTCGTTTATCTATGCCGAGTGAGCTTGCTCCCAAGGATGGGTGCATGCATGAGGATTGCCACCTTCACCCCTGATTAATTTACCGATTTTCTTCTTAGGTTCTGTCTGTGTTCACCTAGGTTGGCTAAAAATCATCATCATCATCATCACCCCATTCCTAAGAGGGCGTGCATACCTGTCCTAATATTCCTTTTTACTTAACTCTTTTCATGGATTCAAATTATGTTTATACTGTTATCTTATATATGCTTGACAAAATACATAAATAAAAATAAATAAATAAATCTTGCAGGAGATATGGGGAGAGTGACCCCACTTATTGGCCCCACTTTCCTCCTTTCGAGACGGTCTTTCTTGCTCCTTGTTGTACATACCCTGATATTTCTGCCTTTTTCCAATGGATAATCTAAATAAATATACTAGGGTGAATTTATTTACGTAGCATTGGTTACAGCAAACCAAGTTAAAATAAACACAAAGCAGTAATGAACTGGAGGAAAGAAGATTCAAGCATATTTATTTATTTATTTTAATTAGATTTATATGCCGCCCTATCTCCATAGGACTCAGGGCGGCTCACAGCAATTAAGATATACAATCTCAATCCAAGTAAGAAACATGTTAAAATACATATTAAACGTATATTAAAATACATTAAAAATCAAAACCCCATCAGTCCAGACTGGGCAATTTAAACAGCCATGTGCTTTACCTGAGCTCTTATTTGCCAGCATCGGCTTGAAACAATTTTCCCTTTAGATAAGAGTTACGAACCAGGCAAATTTAGCTGTAATTCCAAGAGCATTATCTTTAGTAGAAGAGAGAAAAAATAATTTTCTGTTGCTCTGAAAAATAAGTGACAGGTTGTTGTTGTTTTTTTACCTGGGACCTTGTACAAATAGGTCAATGAAGAAAAGGAAGATAGAGAGCTACAATCACTTTTGCTAGGCCTGGATGAAGGTGTGGATTAAAGGCAATGTTTCAAAACCTGTCTTGAAGCACTGTTAATGATAGTATTTGCTTTTGCAACTGAGTTTAAAATCTCTCTCACTAGAAGATTCTGGATTCATAAATATGTTTCATTGAATGGGGATTTGTAATTAAAGGAAACCAAGTTGCCAGTTTACAATAAATAAATAATGAAATGGAAACTGATACATAGTACATTGGGAGAGTGCTTGGTTAAGGAATGCTTAGTTAAGAATTTATCTTGCCTGAGAAGTTCCCCCAATGGAGATGTAGATCCTACTGATGAAAGAGGTTCAAGTTCAGACAGATTCTTTAATTAGTTCACATGCTCTGCAACCTCCTTCTTCATTCACAATTGCATGAACAGACTTGTACAATATTTTCCTGTTCCAAGTGTATCTTGTCACCCACTTGAGAAAGTATCATTTTTTTTTCTATATACAGAAGCTTCACCACTTCACCACTAAATACAGAAGCTTTGGTCTTGCCAAATGCAGTTGAATTGAATTGAATTGAATTTATTAAACTTTTATACCGCCCTTCTCCCAAAGAACTCAGGGCGGTGTACAGCCATATTAAAACACATATAAACTCACAAAAAGTTCTTTGTTTAATGCTTCTCTGGACGAATATTATTCTTGGGCTGATCAACCATATTCCTAATTGTCAGTAGCTTGGTATTTCAGAGGGTGTAGTGTGATATGTATGTGTGTATGTCTTTTGTAGGGGTTTATGTACTTGGAAAATATGGCCAGAAAAAAATGAAAGAAATTCAAGAAAGAGAAGCAGCAGAATATATAGCACAAGCAAGAAGGCAGTATCATTTTGAAAGTAATCAGAGGACTTGCAACATGACAGGTAAAGTGGTACTGTAGCTATTTTGTTTGTGAAAGAGACCAAAGTATGAAGCTTGCTGTCAAATTCCCTTTTTTTGGTATTTGTTTTAACATCTAACTCCTATTTCTTTAATGAAACAATTGCTACAGACCAGGGGTGAAATGCTCCCGGTTCGGACCGGATCGCCCGATCCAGTAGTGATGGAGGCAGGTCGTTCGGAGAACCGGTAGTAAAAATCCCTGTCCCCCCCCCCCCCATGCCCAGCTGAGCCACACAATCATCAGAGGCTTTTTTTTTACTTTTAAAAGCATTTTTTCTACAACCTCTTCGGCAGAAAAAATGCTTTTAAAAGTAAAAAAAAAGCCTCTGATGATCGCGTGGCTCAACTGGGATCATCAAAGGCTTTTAAAAGAAAAAAAACCACTTTTTTTCTTTTAAATGCCTCTGATGATCCAAGCTGAGTTGCCTGATTGTCAGAGGCATTTAAAAGAAAAAAAGTCTCTGCCGATCAGGCAACTCAGCTGGGATCGTCAGAGCCTTTTGAAAGCATTTTTTTACAACCTCTTCGCCAAAGAAGTTGTAGAAAAAATGGTTTTAAAAGTAAAAAAAAAAAAGGCCACGCCCACCCAATCACATTACCCCCCACCAAGCCACCCCCACAGAACCTGTAGTAACAAATTTTAGATTTCACCACTGCTACAGATGAAACAATGCTTAGAACAATGTTTGCTAACTCAGGCAGATCATCAAAACGTAACTACCATAAATACAAATAGATTTGTAAGCTATTTTTTATATTTCTAAATTGTTAATTGACTATAAATCATAACTGAGCAATTTAACATGCAAAACATGATTAGCCTTAACAGTAGTTTGGTACTATGTGTGAACTACATTGGTACGGTTAGTCATGCTAATATGGACAGGTTAGTATAATAAATAGGGTTCAGAAAGTTGTATGTCTAGTTCTGCATTTTCAGGAGGGCTCTTTTTTTTTTTTTTTACCAGTATTGTATAATCTCACATAGCAGATTCCTTTTGAAACTGATGGGCTGTCAGTGATCCTTACATTTATTGTTTTCTAAAAGTTATTTTAAATAAGCCTTAAATATTTTCCCAATGTTAGATTTATGTTATAGAGATCTTTACATTCAGTTTTACAGTAACATCCTCACTATTATATTCAAGTTATTATTTTTATTTTGTTGATGATGCTCCGTGCCTTCAAACAATTCTTCCTATCATCTACTTTTTAGTACTATCAATGCTTCCAACTTTAAGAGACACTTTGATGTATCAGCTGAATTCTGAGAGTCTCACTTCCCTGCTGAAAAACAAGTAAGCATAAATTATCAAGAGATTATTATAGTTTGTTTTGAATGTCTGTCTTTTAGATTTTGGTAGTGTGTATGTACATAACGTTAGCATGGGCAAAACTATTTGTTTTCTGTTAACACTCTATTGACTTTAGGGGAGGAAAACTTTGCCATTGAAGTGTCTGAATCCTTTTTTCATGCTATTATTTTATGCATGAAATTCATAGATGATTCTGCATTCTGGTTAAATTACTTTTTTTTTACATGTCTTCTGAAATACTTATTACCAAGGCAACCTAGGGCTACACATTTGTATTTTTTTTAGTATCACAAAAAAATTGTGATTTATTCCAGTGCTATATGAGCAATCGTGCTTATGCAGTTGAACTTCCTGTTCCTTTCCAATGTGTGCAGAAGAATGGGTAGGATTAAGAATCCAACTGAATCTCTCAACTGAATGGCATCATTGCATAAGTTCCTGTGCTTTGCAAGCGTTCTCCTTATTACTGTATTACTTTCCAAAATCCCAGTATTTTTCTCCATCATATTTTTATGTTTGATTTTTTTGTTTTGTTTGATGTGCATGCTCTTCACATGTGATGGAACTCTTCAATTAATTATAAATGTGTTTATTCTGCTCTTTCTGTAGGCCAGCCAATAAGTTAGAAATATGGGAAGAATTGAAGATTATAAGTAAGTCAAATGAACCATTGTGCTTGTGATCCATTGAGCCTCTTTAGGTGTACATAAAATGAGACTTTTCTTTCTTCATTATTGGCTATTGTGCTTCAAACACTATCCCAATAAACATTATAATTTGTCATGAAGAAAGCATATTTATTCAAAAGTAAGCCTTACTTTTGTTAAGTGGAACTCTGTTGAATTAATTTTGAATTCTCATAATGGCCATAGTTATCTCTCCTGAATAAGTGATTTCTATCCAAAGATAAGGGGTGAAATCCAGCAGGTTCTGGAGAACCGGTAGCAGAAATTTTGAGTTTGGAGAACCGGTAGCAGAAATTTTGAGCAGTTCAGAAAACCGGTAGCGGAAATTTTGAGTAGTTCAGAGAACCAGCAAATGCCATCTCTGGCTGGCCCCAGAGTGGGAATGGAGATTTTGCAGTATCCTTCCCCTGGAGTGGGGTGGGAATGGAGATTTTGCAGTATCCTTCCCCTGCCATGCCCACCAAGCCACGCCCACAGAACCGGTAGTAAAAAAAATTGGATTTCGCCACTGCCTTAGATGTGTAGTTATTTTCCACCTTATTTTATTTTCTCTAATTTTAAACCTTCTGTTTGTAATGGTGTTTTAAAAAAATATCCTCTCTCTCACTTCAGCCTTTACCACATTTAAAATTAAGTAGGAATCTCAGCTCACCAACACAAAGCA